GCATCAGCCTTTCACCTTGCCCCCCGGTTACCCAGTTCACCTGCCACAAACAGTATCATGTTTGACCAAGAAATTAACTCACTCAAGTTTGATTTCCTTTCCTTTCACCGGCTGTTAACTCCGCAGGAAGGCAATGGTTGTTCGTCCATTTCTGGACTTTAGTCTTACTCCAGAACTAAAATTTTGCGTCTTACATATGTGCTTATTCGTATGCAGAAGGTTGGTTTCCTGCTTCTGAAGCAGATATGCTCCGGCTTCGGAGGATAAACTGCGACTAATAACCTTGACAAAAACAGAACGAGAAAGGCTGCGGGCGAAACGTTCGAGATTTGTCTTGTGTGTATTTGTTGTTCCCCTTACCCCTTCGTCACAATTCAGTGGATTCATGTCTTGGTATAAATGTGAATTCAGTCAGCCGTGTTGTCATCAATGTTTGACCAGTAGAATGTCTTCCTTCCCAGTTCTGCCCAAGTTTGAAGTCGACGTCATTATGCCCTCCTACAGTCTGACCACTGACTCTGACGTCACAGTCACAGTCAAAGCCAAGTGAGTTTGTGTGTGTGTGTGTGTGTGTGTATCTGTGTGTGTGTGCGTGCGTGTGTGTTGGTATCTTCTGTTTTTCCTGATGATAGTGTACTATTTCGCCTTAGGGAGGCGTGAGAATCCCCGCCGTCGCCATGGCAACTGTGACCAGGAAGACATTGGCATTAAGAAATGTCTTCCACGATTAGAACATAGTCATCATTTGTTGCTTAAGTGTTGCGAACCTGCTTCGAAATTCCGAGAGGCCGGGTTCCATCCCAGCTTCAGGCGATTTGGCAGGAGACCGCCTTGCGTTGGTTTCAACCGTGGTATCGAGAGGGGACATTTAAGCGACAATGGTAAACTTCTTTTTTCTTCTTCAGCTGCCTTCTATCTACTAATTGAACATAGGCCCTCAACAAACTCACGCCAAGTCGTTCTGTCCTGTGCAGCTTTTACACGCAGCTTTCCCCATGTCCTCCCCATGTCCTCCCCATGTCCTCCCCGACTTTTTAACTTCACTCTCTAACTTCCTTCTCCATGGATTTTTTTGGTCTTCCTTTATTTCTAACCCCTGTGGGTTTCTAGTGGAAAGACATTCTAGTTGTATTGTTCTCAGGTTTTTTCAACGTGTGTCCTATTCACCGCCATCGTCTTTTCTTTACCTCTCGTTTCACTGGAACTTGTTAAGTTTCCTCTCAGAGCTCTAAATTAGTGATTCTACCATTTAATTCCCTTAATTCTGCAGTTTGCTGTTTATCAGTTTATTAGTGATTGCTTTAGTTAAAAGTTGTTCTTTATGTTTTGGCAACATACAACAGTGCTGATCTAATGAGTGCCTGGAAGGACCGAATGTAAGAAACAGGTTCCAAGCCAGAGGCCCGGTCAGCGTAGATAGGACTGAGGTCGGAGCAACTGCCTGGGAGGCAAGGAAACAACAGAAGAAATAAAATAATTGTAGAAAAAAAAATACGATTGTGAGCTCAACACGCAATTCTTGGAACACAAGCCACGTAATCAGGTTATCGTCTGAGACCAGCCTGGTCGGTATAACGTTCATTATATCAGTTTTGTCCATGTTTAACTTGTGGATAAAAGGATCGTAGAAGAAGAAAACATGCCAGTTAGCGTAACTGCTCCGTTCTTGTTCCAGTGCAAATCGCACAACCAGTAGTTCAGTGTCCTTTAGGAAAAGTAGCGACAAACTTTGAAGTCCCATCAAACTCTTGAAGCTTGCAGACACACAGTTAACAAAAAATTGCACTTTACTGTTGGCACAAATGGCCAATCTCGAAAACAATACCAGCATTGCACCCGCAAAGGTACACATTATTTTAAAGCTAATTGACCATCCACCATTTAGTGCAGTCAACAACACGTCGCAGGCATTCCAGGGAGAAAACAAAATTCAACATGAAAGCCACACCTCACAGCACCAAGCACTCAACTCAGTACCTAGGCGACCGAATCCTAAACTTCCTGTCCAGAAATAGGGAATAGCAGCAGTAAAACCTAGCTGGTAAATATCTTTTCAGAGCGTCAGCGATCAGCCTGCTATCGCCAATTTTGGCCAGAGGTCATATCAGCGTTACCTAACACAGCATATTATAACTTAGTTTAGTGTTACATAACAAACCATAACACAAGATAACATAACCATATTTGCAGATACACCTATGGGGAGCCAGTGAAAGGCACAGCCAGTGTCAGTGTGTCACTGCTCAACAGCAACAGTCCTTATGACGCCAGCAGAGGCCAGTCTGTCAGTTCAACAACTGTTCCAGTAAGCGTCTTATTGTCACTTTTTTAACAAAAACTTTGTTACTGCTGTTTTAATTATTGCTTTTGTTTTTTCTCGTTAATACTAGTCCAGTTGTTTTCCTTGTTATTATTATGGTTTTTGTTATTCTAGTAGTCTTGTGTTCTCCTTATTGTCTTGTTATTCACGTTGTTGTTGTTGTTTTTTTTTTTTTTTTGTTTATTTTGTTTTTTCATTGTTGTTATTCTCCTTATGGATATTGTTGTTAATCTTGCTGTCCCTGTTGTTGTTATAGTAGTAATTCTAGGTGTTGTTATTATTCCCCTTGTCGCAGCTGTTGTTATTTTCGTTGTCGCGTTGCTACAGTTGTTTTTCTGTTTGTAGTCAGTATCATCTTTGTCCTGATTGTTGTTATTATTTTTTTTAAAACTCTATTTGTTTTTCCCTTGTGGTCGTTATGATTGTTAATTTCGCCGTTGTTATGATAGTTGTTGTTTTTAAGTCGTTCTCATTCGCGATGTTATTATTGTAGACATCGAGTTTTCTAGGTTTTGTTGCCATTCTGGCTGTGATTGTTATTTTAGTTTTGTTGTTGTTCTCGTTGTTGTTGTAGAAGTTGTGTTTTCTAGTTCTGAGGTTATTTCACTTGTTATTTTTGTTCTATTTTTGTTGTTTTTCTAGTTATTACAGTAATAGTTGTTGTCGTTGTTATCCTCGGTGTTGTTATATAAGAGAGCCGCTGGATCCGCCAACACCAACCGTCTACCATTGACTAGTTTTACTTCACGTTTGGTTTGATATCATTGGACAGAACTGGAATTGCATTTGACTTTCTTCTTCTTCTTTCGTCTCACTGATACCAGGTTGTAGTCCAGTGTTCTGGTTTTCTGTATTTGTCTTGCGCTTCTCTGGTGGCTTAGGTGGTGGATTTGTTTATCGTTTTGCTCCCTTGAGCTCCACCATTTATTCATCTCTTTCTTGGTCTTCCCCTCGCCTTCCACCGATGTTATACTGCACACAATCTTCAGCTCAGTTTTGTCTGTATGCATTTTCACTATATGTCTGAACCATTTCATTACTTGTCTATTAGTATAATTCAAACGGTGTTATTCCAACTTTCGCTCTAATGCTGATATTCGTAACCCTGTCCCTTCTTGTGATGTTAGAGGCCTTATGGGAACAGGGCATTTCACATGTAGTTTTTCTCAATTCTTATGCCCCATCTATTGTCTATGTTTGGCACTGATGGCATAAAGTAGGGATGACGATGCAGCACATCGTAACACTTTTTTTATTGTTTCTGCAAATTCTTTCAGGTTGAAGGAGAAGCCAAAGTGACCATCCCCATGGCAACCGTCAAGAAAATCAGTTCCGGCCTCAACGGACACATCCTGGTGGTCACTGCTAACGTCACGGAGTCACTGACCGGTAACATCAGGACCGGAAACGGAAGTGTTAAACTGTATGACAAGGGCGTCACTCTGGAGTTTCCCAAGACCAACCCAAATACCTTTAAACCTGGACTGAAGTACATTGCATATGTGAGTTCCATACAAGCAGATATATACTTTTGTCACCCCCATATCATCATCATCATCATCATCATCATCATCATCGTGATCATCACCATCATAATATCGTCATCATCATAGTCATCATCATCATCGTTATCATCGTCGTCAGCATCATCATCATCGTCGTCATCATCGTCATCCTCGTCGAAGTCACCGTCATCATCATCATTATCATCGTCGTCGTCATCGTCCCGTAAAACTACGTGTCGTTGGGTCACCCTGTGCTGTTGACTGCCTGATCAGAACCCCCCCCCCCTCCCCCCTCCCCCCCCCCCCCCTCCCCCCTTTTTTTACCTCTATCTTCATTTATTTTCGCGCTGTTCTTGATAGATGTCTCATCAAGCAGTTAGGTCTATGATTTCAGTCGGTATCCGCATAGAACTGTCGGTTATACTTGGCTGGTGTAGTCATTTCAGGTGCCCTAATTATAACCTCTGTTAAAGCTGAGAGTGTGGAATCTGGCAACTACCATGCTAGTCTTCTGTCCAGGGTGGAGTCTGGCAACTACCGTGCCAGTCTGCTGTCCAGGTTGGGATGTTTCCAAAATCTCCGTATGGTATGGCAACCTGGCGACACACCGATGGATCAATCTATGAGGTTACCTAGCTCTTGTCTTTCCTGGTAAATCTGTTACTATGCAAATACAAAATACACATCTTTGCTATCGTTTGAACCAATGTATAAGCGGGAAATTTTGCAACATCAATCTTAAAGTTCTGATTTGTCACTGTGTAATTTTCATTTCTTCGGACCTCTAAAAAAACATCGCTGGAGCTACGGAGTTCGTTCTTTGTGTGAGATTCTATGCAGGCGGCCAGCCGTTCAGCGGAGAGAGACTGAACCATATAAGATAAAACTTAGTGCCATGAGGTCGATTCTCTCAAATTTTAATCTCTTACTTTACTATGCTTTTTCCACTTGCAGTTGAAGGTTAGCCAGCCCGACGGTCTACCGGTCAGTTCCACCAACGACATGGTCGGAGTGAGCCCAACGGTCATCATCGAGCTGCCCGGAGTCAGCCCTACACCCTACTACTACTACGAGAAGCCGACACAGACCAAGAAACTGCCAGAGACTATGTACAGTGTCCCAGACAACGGACTCATCGCCATTCCCGTGGATATTCCCAATGATGCCAAAAGCGCCACTATTACGGTACTAACTCCTACAGACTCCAGTTCAGTGTTTCTCAAAATTTTCTTAGTCGCGGCGCCTTTTTTTTTTTCAATTAAAAATGTTCCACGGCGTCATAACCTAAGTAAAAGTATGACTATTCGTATGTAAGGGATAAAAAAAAAATAAATAAAACTCGGGTATCTTCGAATATCTTCCTCTGTGAAGAGGTCGCAGCTCCTGGAGTCAGCCTTACGCTTTGCGAACCTGCTTCGTAATTCCTAGAAAACCGGTTCGATTTTGACTGCTGGTGATTGAGCAGCAAACAACTTTGCGTTGATTTCGACACTAGTATAAAAAGCCAATGATCGAGGAGAAGTGATCCATACATCTCATCCTCTCTCAAAAGCTGAGGTATTTTGACCATGTTAAACGTTACTTTGACCTAGAGAGAACCGGAAAACGATGCAGAGGCAGTCATACACGGACGTAGATACAAGACATTGTAGATCCATTGGCCATGAAAGCCCATAGGGCTGGAGAAGTGGCTAGAGATAGAGAGACTTTAAGTCTTGCCGTGACGAGAGCGACGTTCTGTAAGGGACATGCTGATTGATTATCGAGAGCAGACCGTTAAGAAAGCAATGGCAAACGACTGAATGCAAAATGTGTCTTGTAGAACCAAACAGACACAAGAGCTGGTTTTGGTTATTTCTGCGACGACCTGTAAAGGGTAGGCAACTAACTTACTTGTTTAACAGAAACCTGTCATACAGTTCATCCACCTTCACTACCCTTACTGTTGCTGCAATATCTCACACTTATTCACCATCTCCACAATGTCTTCCCAAATCTGGCAGCTCTTCACTAGATCTCAACCACTCTATAAACTAAATGGTTTTTCACCGCAACCTCCATTTCTACCAATTCATCCTCCCGACACTGTATTTCCCCCTCTTCCATTTCCTCATATATATATATATATATATATATATATATAGGGCTGTACTGAATATTCGCTTCGTATTCGCTTCGGGGCCGAATAGTGGACCTAATAACTATTCGGTATTCGGCCGAATAGTTGGGGTCGGGCCGAATACGAATAGTGGTTACCTTACACCCGTTACTGGACTGGTACAAAATAAACATATCAAGATTTCCCACCTTGGTTCTTACTGTCCAGCGTTATCTTTGTGCACCAACTACCAGCATACCAAGTGAACGTCTGTTTAGTACAGCTGGAAATACCTTCAGTGAGACAAGAAGCTGCTTTAATGCTGACAACATGGAATAATTTTTTTTTGAAAGCTAATGCCGCTTTCATGGATTAACTAAGCTGTCAGTGACAATTTACAAGTTTGGTTACTTGTTTTAAAACTAAGCATACTTTCATTCCTAGGTATTATTTACCACAGACTGACTGATTAAAGGATGCAAAACATGAAATGTTTTTAAATGTTTACTATTCTCTACTACATTTTGTGAAGTACAATTTCAGCGTACATTTAACATTAATGATATTTTTTTAGATCTATTTTATACACGGAAGTGGAAGAATGGGCCTCAGTTTGAAAAGTGGGAAGACAAGTAATAATTTTTTGGCCACGTTATAAGATGAGGGAAAATGGAACATGTGGTGACCACTGGAAAGTTATGTGGAAGGAGGGATAGAGGAAGACAACGAGAGAAGATTCTTGACAGTCTTGTTGCATGGCATGGAGGTGCATCGGCACACGAACTAAAACAAGCTGCAGGAGATCACAGATTGTGGCGAGGCATAATAACCTATGCCAGTCGGCAAAGCACCTGATGATGATGATTCACTATTCGTATTCGTATTCAGCCGAATAGTAAAAATCACTATTCCGTACAGCCCTAATATATATATATATATATATATATATATATATATATATATATATATATATATATATATATATATATATATATAAAACACACATATACATGCATATCTACATACACATGCACTCACAAACTCGCTCACACACTGACCTATATATATATATTGGCACACACATATTCAGTCATCGTGCTTCACCATCTCGTTTATTGCCTACACTCCACCAGGCCACATTCCAAGGCGTGACAGCAACTCTGAGTCTAGGCAAGAGCCACTCGCCCAGCAACTCTTACCTTCAGCTGTCCCTGGAAACTACATCAGCCATTGAGGTAAGCCACTAATGTGTCCTGGTGTCCCTAATGTGTCCTCGTGTCCCTAATGTGTCCTCGTGTCCCTAATGTGTCCTCGTGTCCCTAATGTGTCCTGGTGTCCCTAATGTGTCCTCGTGTCCCTAATGTGTCCTGGTGTCCCTAGTGTGTCCTGGTGTCCCTAATGTGTCCTGGTGTCCCTAATGTGTACTGGTGTCCCTAATGTGTCCTCGTGTCCCTAATGTGTCCTGGTGTCCCTAATGTGTCCTGGTGTCTAATGTGTCCTGGTGTCCCTAATGTGTCCTGGTGTCCCTAATGTGTCCTGGTGTCCCTAATGTGTCCTGGTGTCCCTAATGTGTTCCT